CTGGGCTCACGGGACAGGCTGATGCTTTGTCCTCACTTCCTCCAGCCGAGGGGACTTCTTGCTGCGTCTGGGGTGGGTGTGCACAGGCTCATGGCTATGGAGAGAAATGGTACTGGGAGTTGGGAGCTAGTGGGGAGTAAGAGGAGGGGGGCATCCTTGGGGCCCAGGGACCATGTTGGGTTGGAGTCTTGGCTGAGCTTTGACATTTAAACCCTCAACTTGCTTGTTCTTTTGATTAAGAGTTTGGACTTTCTGGGGAAGCAGTATTAAAAACATGGTGCCAACCAGGTGGGGGGATTATCCGGGGATTTCAACAATAGGCGAGTCCCTTTAAGAAGGATCAGCTGGTACTGGCATGCAGGAGGGTTGCAATTTCCAGCCTTGCAGGGGCTGCAGGGGGCCCAGCGGGGAGAGCTGTGAGCAGGAGGGAATGAGGTCTGCACAGCAGGAGCTGTCTCCCTCCAGCAGGGCTCAGGGAAACGGCTTCCTCTTAGCTCTGGGGCTGAGCTGCTGGGTCAGCAGGGAATCGTTTGGGGTCAGAGGCTCTTGGAAAAGGCTCGTCTTCTCAACAACAACAACAACAACAACAACAAGACACAGAAGGCGCGTTCAGCGCTGCTGCCTTGCTGGGGTGTCACTGGCTGCGAACCGTGTTGGGTGTTGGGTGTGTCTCCTCTGGGTGCTCCCCTTCATTAGCCGGTGTGTTCTGTGCTGTTTGGCGAGGACATCTCTGCAGTCACAGCATATTGTCAAGTTGCTCCTCGTGTTTCCAGGCCTCCTTCCCCCCTGAACCCCTCCCTCACCGCCCTGTCCCCAGGGGAAGGCAGTTGGGGGTCTCTCAGAGGTGGGTGAGGGCAGCATGAAGCAGAGGAAAGAACATGGCTGTGGGTCAGGCAGACCTGAGTTCAGATCCTCCCGTACCAGCCTCGGGGTGAGTGGAGGAGCTTCTGGTTCCTCTTTGGTACCAGAGAGATGGCAGCCCGTGCATCCTGGGCTGGTTCCGAGCTCCTCCCACACCCGTGTCAGGGCTGTGACACTAAAGCTGATCCCACGATCGCACGCGGCTGCTTTGGGGAGCGCAGTCTCACTGAGACACGCTGCTGCTCAGATGCACAGACAGTTGGCCTTCGTGTATTTTCTCTCTTCGTGTTTGGAGCTCCCGTTTCTGCCAGTGACAGGAGGGGTGGGGTAGACGGAAACTTGCCAAAGGAAGGAAATTCTGGCTCATGGTTTTAAATTGGTAATTTCTGGGTTAGCTGACACGGCTTCCCACTCTCTCCCTCATGATTTTTTCTGGGGGCAATGTCCCCGGGCTCCCAGGAGAGGTGCCATGGCCCTGGTGGAGGGTCCCCTTGGGCCTGCTGGTCTCTGCCAGGCACCCCCATGGCTGCCCCCAACGCCCTGCACTGCTCTCCCTGGAGGGGTGGCCCGTTCTCACCCTTGGGGTCCATGTGCTGGCACCTGCCGCTGAAGGCCGAGGCCCCCGACATCCGCCTCCATGGGTGAGGTGGCCACTGCCGCTGGCCTCACCTCCTGACATCCACGCCACGGCTGTGAGACGACCCAGGTGCTCCTTCCAAACCATTTAGGGAGCTCCTGCGTTTTTCTGGGGAGTCCACACGCAGGGAGGAGAGGTGTCCAGAAGGTTGAAGGGCAGATGGAGTGGGAATGAAGACATACCCTGGCAAGGCGGGGTCTGAGATAGAGGTTCCTGAGCTGGACCAGAGGTTCCGGAGCTGATGGCCAGGGACCTGCCTGGGGTGGGGCACAGGGAAAGCCTAATATCAGAGAAATCCTGCCGGTCGGGTGCTGGGAGGGGCTCGCGAGGGCAGCTGGGAGGCCTGGCGTGCAGGGGACCTGCAGGGACCTGCAGAGCCTTTGGGGACTTTGTGAGTCGACCTCCTGAGTTTACATCCTGAGTCTACGGTCAGAGTTAGATCTTTCCATTGAGCCTCGCATTCCCCAGTGTTGAATGAGGCCGATGACACCGTTTCTGCAGGACAAGGGGAAACTTCACATGTATGTGGTGCAGTGAAATCCGTGGTTAGTTGCTCACCTCTCATCATTAGCTGTCAGTTGTGAGGAAGGAGCTACTGAAATCTAGTTGATGGAGGTTATGACTTTGCCTTGGATTTCTAGCATCCAGAGCATGAAGATATTTGCTGTACTCATTCCCACTTCTGGCGTTTTTCTTTTCTTATGAAACCAATGATGCATCTTACAACTTACGGGACCTTCAATCCAGGAAATGCATTATTTATTTCCACTTCATGTAGGTAGAAGACTACGAGATACACGTTGGTGTTCCTGTCTATCTTGTTTTGCTACTAGATGTCATGTCCATTCTGTTATCGACCCTCCCCCCCACACCTTCTTCCAGTGAAAATTGAGAAATAGTTGAATTTTAGTGATAAAAATGTAGCTGAAACTTTGAAATGAAAAAAACTAAGGTGGTTTTGAATGGACAGTCATCAAAAATGTAAAGTTTCGAAAACAGAACGCCTGAGCGCCACACAACACACCCTCCTGCCATTTTCTCTTTAAATATTCACCCTCTGGAACCATAAGCTCCGTGCAGGCAGGGACCGGGTAGGAATCACATTCTCTGTCTAGGCTGTCGCCTGGTGGCAGGCCCAGTAGAAGTCTTTCTAACGAGGGATCTAAAGGTTGGACTTGGAGAGGAGAAAGGCCCATGAATTCACCATGCATGTCAAGCAAATAAAAGACTAAGAAAAGTCTTAAGAAAGATAGACAGCTCCATTATGAAGAGTACAAGAAGGGATTAACTTGAAACAGCAGCATGAAGGATTCCAGTGAGACTTAAGGGAGGACTTCCTGATACAGAAGCTGTGAACAGGAGTGGGTAGAAGAACCACAGTGGCCCCCTTCCCGACGTTCATTGCTGGGGCAGGACCTCTGACTGGGAGTGGGTAGCTGACCTCCCAGGGTGTTTCAGTTCTCTTTGTGGGTGAGTGTGTTTTCCTTATGGCAAATCATCGCTCTCTCCCCCACTGTGAGCGTGAGCCTCAGGTGAGACCTCACAGCATGTCACAGTTGACAGCTATTCTCACGGTGGGTACATGGAAAGCTGGGGAGCTGTGGAGGCTGAGTCATGGGCTTAGGCTCCCCACCCCCAGGGTTCAGACACTAGGCCAGCTGGGGACCTACCCTACTGTCCACAATCTGGTCTCTTTCAAAGACCATCTGAGTGTTATAAACCCAGCGAGCAAAGAAAACTTGTTTTGCACCGAAGGAAAAAACACACACAAACCAACAACAGCTTTGCTGACCTGTAAGACCCTGTAAGCTTCGCGGTGTTGGCTGTGCCTCGTAATAACTGATCTTTTGACTAAAGAAGAATGCTAATCAGCCAGGCTTTGCCAACCTCTGTTTGTTGCCCGTTGCTAGGTGACAGCTAAAGAAGATTAGCCCATCATAGATCATAGGTGAGTGGAAATTTCTGTCCTGTGCTTTGTTAGTAGTGATGGAAAATAGCTGAGGGCGTGTGAGGCGGGGGGCGGGGGCGGGATCATCCTCTTCTATGTCTTTGGCTCTTGAATGGTTTTACAAGAGCCTCCACGTGTCCCAACAACCCAAAGAGGGGAAAGGCAGTCGATGGCTTCTTGCCGTCCTGAGGTGCCCTCGCTCCTGGTTCTTCTCTTCCTGTCCTCGTTTCTCCAGCGAGGGCGGAATGTCTGGTGGTGTAGAAAGCGCGAGCCAGTCACCCAGCTGTACCCATCGCACAACCACTGTAGCCCGCAGCTTACTCATCCACACCACGGGAGAGGGAGAAAATAATCGGGTGTATTTCCAGGATTGTTGTGAGGATAAAGACAGACAACAGGATGAGAAATGTTTAGTTAGCAGAGGGCCTGCCCATAGGAAGTACCCAGGATGCATCGCATGCTGTTGTCATCACCACCATGATCCTATGTCATGTCTCCCTGTTGGTTCTGAGTATTATTATTCCAAAGGGGAATGCACCTTGATTTCCCTCTCTTCAAGACTGACGTTAAGATGATAGGGGTGGAATGTAGGCGATAGGAATAGGGGTGTTCACTAAACATTTGTTTAAATTTGCTCTATGAAGTTTCCCAGTAGAACGTGGGGGGGAATGTCCAGTGACACAAAATATGCCATTCAGTTAATTTCAATAGCACTGCTTGATTTACGGGCAATTCAACAGCAAAAAATGGCCGAGCGCTGGCCACCTGCAGAGTGTTGTTAATGTACTGAGCATCCAGGACGAATGCAGCTGATGCTCTTGGGTCAGAAAGCTCACAGTTTCGTCAGGGAGACCAAAGTGAAGTCAGACTGTCATGGCAACAAACATATGCCAGTCGTTTTCTGAAAGAGTCTAATTTCAAGTACCTTTATTATTTTTAAATGTAAGGGATTCAGAGTAAATAACTCAATGTTATTTTGGTTGCTTAACGTAGTAACACTTTTTAGACAAATAACTTCACAAGTAGGGAAAAGGGTCTTTTGTCCAACGCTGTCTTCCAGCGTTGCTTAGGGAAGCGTGTGCTGTGCTGCGCTGTTGCTGCTGCCCTGGTGGTCCCGTGTCCTTGTTGACATAACATTTAACATTTACTTTACGGCCAGGAAGGAGGCACGGGTGCGTTACAAAATCAATTGAAAGCCAGAGGAAAGAAGGAGAGGTTAATAGTTAACAGGCACAGGGGTTGGAGTTATCTTCAACGTTTCCCCTCTCTCCTCCTCCAGAATTTCCCACCTGCTGCCCAGCCCCCACTGCAGCCGGGGGAGCTGGGGAGAGGGGCTCCTTCTGAAAACCTGGTCCTCAGGGGTCCTGCTGGGTCAGTGGGCTCCACTGACTAGACCAGTGATGGCGAACCTTTTGAGCTCGGCGTGTCAGCATTTTGAAAAACCCTAACTTAACTCTGGTGCCGTGTCACATAGAGAAATTTTTTGATCTTTGCAACCATAGTAAAACAAAGACTTATATTTTTGATACTTATTTTATATATTTAAATGCCATTTAACAAAGAAACATCAACCAAAAAAAGTGAGTTTGCGTGTCACCTCTGACACGCGTGTCATAGGTTCGCCATCACTGGACTAGATTCTGCTCCCACAATCTTAGCCTGTGGCCCGTACCCACCTCTTCACCCACACCCTATGCTGTGTCCAGTGCGTCGTTTCCCAAATAGTGGTACCCCCACTTGTGTGAGGTCTCTGTCAGCTGATCTATGTTGACCTATTCATGTTCATGGGACGCCCTCCCCTCTAACACTGCTCAGGTCTCCCCAGCCCCCACCTCACGTGGGAACGAACCCATCTCCCAGTCAGCCTTGGCATTTTCTGTCTTTGATGGCCTGTGTGTTACAGGCTGTGTTGGTTTTAGATTTAAGTGTTTGTCACGACCACCCCCACGGCAACCTAGGCCCCACGTTGGCAGAAAAAGCCAACATCTCTTCTTAAAATCAGCCCACGCCAGGCTGAGTGTGCTCTTTGTAAGCCCATCGGCGGGGATCCTTTCCTCCAAAGCGCAGCACCGTGTCTAGGAAAGGCTCAGGACGGACTGCAGAAGGACGCTTGTGTGCTACCCCCAGAGGAGCCTACAGGTTTATTAGACTTCCGTAACGGGGCGCATTTCCCAGGCAGTCCTGCAGCGCAGCACACTTACCTGGGAGAAGCAGTGAGCAAAAGTATTGGCCTTCGCGAGTTTCTCTTGCATATGAACTACTTTAAATTGCTTAACTCTCTCTCCTAGCTTAGACACTGGTGGACTTGCTGTCTTTTGCTGCATGCATAATGCCATCTAGTGGCCAGAGAGCACATGACACTCATTTACCCCAGTGCTCCGGAGGCTATGGATTTGGGGCGGGCGCAGGGCTAGATACTGTGCTTCTGTACTCCATCCCCCCTGTAGTATTGTGTGAATACAGTATTCGTTTGAATGTTGCATAGGAGCGGGGCCCTGGGCTCTCAGTCTGGCGACAGATGAGGAGGGGCAGTCAGCAAACACAGCGGCCACCTGTCACCAGGCAGACGTAAGGCGTGTTAGGGCATTGGCATGTCTTGCTTGAGGACAAGTTCTTCCTGACCTCATGAGCATGGGGGTACTGGGTGGTATCGGCCTGGCTATAGGGAAAGGTGAGGTTTTTGTGCGATTTCTTTATGGGTTGCCTGTGATGCAGGTATCATTGTTTTCTTTCTCATCTACCTTTGTGTAGTTTTTCTAAGTGGACAGGAGATTTTGTTTTTGATTGCGTTTCCATAACCAGAGCAACTGGTCTAAAGAATAAACACAAAGAGTTATAGGTTAAAGGTCAGTAGGGGAGCCACTGGGGAACCCTAGCACACACCACACCCAAAGGAAGGCAGGAAAGAAGCAGAGAAATGAGGAACCGACGGGACCAAGAGGAAACAAACACCAAGAGAGCAGGCTTCAACTCACCCACACGAGTCGCTGCTTTACGCAGACTGAAACCTTCCATTAAATGTCAGACACTGTTAAAATGGACAGGAAACACATGGTAAAGGCACAGACAGGCCGAGGGTAAAAGGATCAAGGATACACTGTGCAAACACTAAGTATAAGAAAGCTGGTGTGGCGATGTTAATGTTTAAGCAAAGTAGATTTCAATACAAAGAATATAACCAGATTTAGACATTGCATAATGATAACAGGGCTCATTTTATTTGGGGCCCTAAATGTGTTTGTAGCTAATAAACAGGTATAACAAGTTTCAAAGTATAGGGAGCAGAGGGAATGAAAAGGGAAATGGGCAAGCACAGCAGTAGGAGATTTTAACATCCCTCTTTAATAAAAAGGTAGGCCAAAAAAATCAGTAACGAGACAAGATTGGAGCTACTACAATAGTGAAACCAAGGAATTTGGTATGTTTAAAGCAGTAAGATTTAAAGATCTGGTAGTTGTTACCTGAAACCTCACTTCTGAGTGACACTTGATAAGCAGCATTTTCTTGTACACATTTGGATGTGGTGATGATTGGAATGTGTCTGCAGGTTTGCGAAATCAACCCGAAGTTGCTCCCGTGTGCCACTTGGGGTGGGAGCCCTGGGGTCACAGCAATAGGACCCAGTCTTCATGCTTTAGGGTGTCTCAGCCGGTGTGGTAGAATACTTACTGATGTGACATTATAGCACAGGCAGAACCTTTGATCTTTCCCTGGGGAACTACACTAAGCCACGCAAACAGCCTCTCAACATTGGCCAAACGTCATGATTTCATCTCTCTGGGTCAGGGGTGCAAGCTTCCTTCAGCCAACCCAGCAGGCTCCCCATTACCTTCTAGACCGAAAGCCAATGGCAGTGCTGTAGGAAGAGTTGGCAGACTTGGCAAATAGAAATGGCGTGCCCAGTCCCATCTGAATTTCAGATAACAGATGATTCTTCACTAAGAGACATGCTTACCCTCAAAAACCATTGGCCCTGACCGGGTAGTTTAGTTAGTTGGTTAGAGTGTTGTCCTGAGATGCCAAGGTTTCGGGTTTGATCTTTGGTTGGGGCACATGCAAGAATCAACCAATGGCCCTGGCTGGTTTGGCTCAGTGGATAGAGTGTCATCTGGCGGACGGAAGGGTCCCGGGTTGCAGGCTCGATCCCCAGTAGGGGGTGTGCAGGAGGCAGCAGATCCTCGGTTCTCTCTCATCATTGATGTTTCTATATCTCTCTCCTTCTCTCTTCCTCTGCGAAATCAATATAAACATGTATTAAAAAGAGAATCAACCAATGAATGTATAAGTGGGACAACAGATCAATGTGTTTGTCTTTCTCTCTCACAAAATCAATAAATAAAAGGAAACAAACAACACTCCCCTTACCTCCCCCCCCCTTCATTGATCTGAAATTCAAATTTAACCGGGCCTTCTTGTGTTCTGTGCTACTTCGGAAGGGAAATGTGCTCTTCCAAGGGGCTGCTGAGCCGCATGGAAGTTTAAAATGCCCAACAGGCACCTGCCTTCAGGGTGCCCCCTCCTCCTCTAACCTCCAGCGACATCCCTTGTCAGATATGCCAGAGCAATAAAAAGATAAGGGCAAAGAGCTGCTCTAAAGGTCATTCTTTATTTAAATATTTTGATGATATGTATACAAATAGAGTCTCCCAAGGAACAAATGTAAAAACTAATACAAATCACCCTTTTGGGAACAGAGAAAGCCATTTAGAAAATGTGATTATGCTATACACATGCGACAGGCCAGGGTTTCCACGCCTGGTCCCAGGGTGGGGGTGGGGGGTAGGCGAGGGGGCGGAGTTGGGGGGGGGGTAGTTTAAGACCAAGTTTTGTTTGTTCGAAGTAGTTAGGTCATGTTTACGTTCCACACAGTAGTGCTATTCCTGCCGCATACTTGACAAAATGTAACTACTAACTCTATAATAATAAAAAGAAGCAACAATCCTAAGTATAGAGTAAAAAATTTAGGTGAATGGAAGAATGACCTTCACCTTGGTCATGCACTTATGGTGTCTAAACGTATTTGCCTTTTACTCATAGTCAGTAGGAGCAAAAAGTATCAGTCTTGTGCATAACACAATTCAAGTCAACATTTCTATAAATGTGCTACAAAAATATGTTTAAAGATTCATTCCCCTAAGCAAAATATCTTGAACAATCACAAAATTACATAGTATTTAAAATTTCTGAAAATGATTGTTTGTTGTGGAGAATATTTATATAAATTGTTACTGATGTGAACATATACTTTGAAACCTGAAATAGATTTTTTTTTTTCAAGGAGCAATAAAAATATAATCTATTTATTTGGTCAAAACACCCAAATCGCTTTCCAAAAAAGGGCAAGGGTGTTACCCAAATTCATGTCAGTTACATATTTAATATGTAGTAAGTCATGATTGCCTAGTCAGTAACTTTGAGACAGAATAAAATACTAACTTCAAACTCATAATTCTATAAATTATAAGGTCTTTCAGTGTTTTGAAATTTTAAAGAGAGTGGCTTGTAAAACCCACTTATGCCACAAATATTGATTTGGCACCCATGTTAGGCACTGAGGATAAATACCAGCCCCCAAACAGGCGTGGTTCTTTCTATACCGTACATAGATAGCATTGTGGTGAATTTAGCTGTACAAAGTTAGAAGATAATAGAGCCTGAGGTTTTAGAAATAGTGTATTATTACTATCAAAAGTAAAGTGATTTTATAGTTAGGAATTTTCCCCTGGATAATTCCACTGAATTGGAAGTATTCAATATTTTCCTGATTACTGAGACAAAGGGGAGGTATAATGCTATTTTTAAGGCCATACAACATACACACACAATCATAGTTATATGCACAGAAACATGTAATGTGTTCTTAGCATGTCAGTGCTCCAAAATTCAGTCCCCAACACAGATAGGAAGACCTCTAGCCTTCACTGGTCGCCCAGCCTGTGTGCACCTTTGGGAGAGTGAGTGTGGACAGTGTGGCAGGTGCAGGAAAGAGGCTGTGCAGGGGCCGTGGCTTCCTGGCTCTGCTGTGTGCTGCTGACCTGGGTGCTCTGTGTTAATTTGGTCAATTCCCAGAAGCTAGATTCCCTCTCGTTAACTTGCTTTGTGACTATTGTGTGGCCACAACTCACTAAATCCCAGAGCATTTCTGAGGGCCTCCTGGACGCTGAGCCAGCCAGGGCCGCTGTCTGTCAGTGACGGAGACACTTTAACTTTGTGTACGTGCTTCTCGTCTGGAAGGCTCATGAAAGGCAGGTCCCCTGGAAACGGGAGACAGTTACTGCTGTTGACCTCTGGGAGACTGCAGGCATCTCAGGCGTAGGGGTGAGGGCTGCGTTGCGATGACTGCTCAGGCATAGGGGGGAGGGATGTGCTGTGCTGGCTGCCCAGGTGTAGGGGTGAGGGCTGCAGGTGCTGGCTGCCCAGGCGTAGGGGTGAGGGCTGCAGGTGCTGGCTGCTCAGGCATAGGAGTGCTGCACGGTGCTGTGCTTGGAGACCCTGGTGGACGCAGTGGTTACAGTGCAACCAGAATGACCAGACTCCTTGGAGCTGAAACTGGGCGGAGGGCCAGGGACTCCAGCTCCCGTAACCACAGTCCTTCTGGCCGTCACGGCCGTTTCAGAGGCCACCGGGGCGCTGGACTGCAGGGTGGAAGCGGGTGTCAGCACCCTCTCGGTCACGGTCACGCTCCCCCCGCCTGCTGTGCTGGCCTGGGCCCGAGCGGACTGCACGCCCGAGCTGGGGGCCAGGAAGCTCTCTCGCTCCCTCACCATCATGTAGTGTCCGTCTGGCAGATGCACGGTGCCTTCCAGGGTCCCGGACAGGCCCCTGCTGGGCTGTATGAGCCTCTCCGTGACCGTGATGTTGCCTTCGTTAGCATAGTGCTGATGAGCACAGTGCTGATCCACCGCGGCAGAGGCTGGCGCGTACACCCGCTCCGTCACTATGAGGCCCTGAGGCTGGCGGGGACCCAGGACCAGCGTGGGGGGCGGCCCAGTGGGGCCCGTGGCAAAGGACGTTTCTGTCACGATGACATTTCCGGCTGCCAGTGGGTCAGGGAGCTGTGCGGCTACCTGCTGGCCCTGCTTAGAGGACACAACCCTCTCGGTGACTGTTTCCCGAGTTATTTCCTCGGCACTGGCTTCGCGCACACGTGTGGGGACTTGCACGCTCCCAGCCGAGGAGAAGGAACTCTCTGAATGGACCCTTGTTTGCTCGGAGAGGGAGTGGGAAGCGGTTTCTCTCACGGGTGCCGGCCTCTGCTCAACTTCCAGACCCATATCTATTTTTCGGCCCAAGCACACTTCAGCCAGCGTCCTGAATTTCAGTCCTAAGTCATCCAGGAAGTGCTCATCCAGCTCTCCTTCGATAAAACTGCAACAGCCAATGGAGCCGTGGAGCGACTCGGTGTCCTCCTGAGAATACAGCAGGAGGCAGTCTTTGCCTACGAGACTGTCCTCTTCCTCAGTGTAACAGGCGGCTTTCTAAAAAGGAAATGAAAACAGAGGCGCAGAATCAGTGACACCACCTCATTTAAGGACAAGACTATATTCCTGCCCAAAATCTGTAACTGGAGCGAATTGCAAGGAAACATTAGAGACCCACACTGAAGGACATCCGACACATTGGCCCCTATTCTTAAAAAATATCAGTATTGTGAGCCCAGTTGCCATGGCTCAGTGATTGAGTGTTGACCCACGAACCAGGAGGTCATGGTTCAATTCCCAGTCAGGGCACCTGCCAGGGTTTCGGGCTTGATCCCCAGTAGGGGGTGTGCAGGAGGCAGCTGATCAATGATTCTTTCATCATTGATGTTTCTATCTCTCTATCCCTCTCCTTTCCTCTCTGAAATCAATAAAAAATATATATTAAAAAGTAAAAGAATATATTAAGAAAAAAAAAACTGTGGGGTCAATTGGTGACCACTACTTAAATCAGCTGACGGACTGGTTCAATGGGTTGCATCTCTCTTCCCTCGTTACCTGTCTGCAGTCTCTTTCAAAAAAGAAATAACAAAGTCCCATCCAGATCCAAGGCAGTAACTAGCCTAATCATATCACATTCACATATACACAGTTTTTCTCCCAAACCTACAACCCAACCCTTACCTCAGTGAAATAGCTTCCTAGGAATTCCTCACTCATTGCACCAGCAGCTGCACGAGCTCCAGCCATGTCTCTGTAGATCCCTGTGGCCCTGGTGGTCCTGACGGTTTCGCCGCCTCGGAGGGCTCCTGCTATCCCTGTGACCTGGGTGGTGCCCCCGGAGAGGTGGCTCCTGTGTTCCTCCCACCGTCCGTCCACCTCGGACATGTCATGCTGCACTCTGGTGAAGGAAGCGGAGCTGCCTCCTTTCACGGTGGTCTCCTTGGCTGCCATGCCTCCCATTCCGCTGCCCACGGCCACGCTCTCTCTGTGATCCGCTGTCAGCAGCGATGGCACCACCTGTGAGGGCAAATGCAGTTGAGAACTGAGCCGGAGGGGTGAGCGTCCGTCCTGGTGGTAGGATCTGAGCTAAGTGGGCACACAATAAGCTCTTTCCATAGAAACAAATTCAGAAAACAATTTTGGTTTGAATAACTTTTCTTTAAGGCTTCTAAAGACCCCCCTTCTACCTTCCTGTTTTTTTAGATGATTATAATCCAAGGAGAAAACAAAAGTTATTTAAATACTCGAGGACCGGTGCATGAAATTCAGGCATGGGTAGGGTCCCTAGGCCTGGCCGATGATCAGGGCCGATCGGGGCCTTCCAGCTACCAGCTGGGGCCTCCCTTCCCTAGCTGCCGGCTGCTGGCTGGGGTTTTCCTTTGTTCCATGCCACCCCCTGGTGGTCAGTGCATGTAATAGTGAGCGGTCGAATTCCCGAGGGGACACTTTGCATATTAGCCATATATATATATATATATATATATGGTCATGGCTTATTTACTCTGTTGGCACCAATTGCATTCCAACTTTCCTCTAGAGCAGTGATGGTGAACCTATGATACACGTGCCAGAGGTGACACGTGAACTCATTTTTTTGGTTGATTTTTCTTTGTTAAATGGCATTTAAATATATAAAATAAATATCAAAAATATAAGTCTTTGTTTACTATGGTTGCAAATATCAAAAAATTTCTCTATGTGACACGGCACCAGAGTTAAGTTAGGGTTTTTCAGAATGCTGACACGCCGAGCTCAAAAGGTTCGCCATCACTGGCCTAGAGTTTAAAGCCTCTTTATGATGGTAGAACCATTATTTTTATCTAGCTGGATACATGGTCATCGCAAATACAGATTCTATTTTTAAGCCTCCATTGCTGGTAGAAGTGCCACCTGACTAAGGCTGGTGAATGGGATTTCTGGCAGATATGGAGGATGTGTCTTTTGGAAATGTTTTTCAGGGGTGGGTCTTCACCTTTTTCCTGTCTGCTTTTGGGAATGTGGGGACAGAAGTTAGTGTCTGGAGCATGAAGACAGCAGGGGATGGAACTCATCTGTGGAGGGACTATAAGGAAAAAGGAGCTGGCCGCCATATGGGATCACCATGTTGGTCCTGGACCGCCCACATGTATACTTCAGCCATTGCTGTTCTGCGTTCTCAGATACTTGTTGCCAAGTCATATCCTATTAGACAGGAAGCTCACTGCAGATTGTGATGAGAGACTCGGGGTGAAGACCCAGTGAAGAGAAACGGGAGATGCTATTAAGTAGGTAGAAGAGGGGGTTTCATAATCTGTCACAACTGTAATGGGTGGCGGGCTTACCTCTGCCAACCCCATGCACTGAGGAAATGAAAATGCAGGAACATCTGGTTGTGAAAAACTGCCCATTTAGTATTGGCAATAAGAAATATTTTCATCCTAAATCTCTACACACTCTTGTTCTCTCTAACCTTTGTTCTGCATTCCCCGTGTCATGACCTGACCCCTTTTCTACATTCTTTGTAACCCAGACCTGCCACAGTACAGCAAAGCCACCTCAACTCTGCCCTGGCAACGAACACAAAATATGTCTCATTTAAAGGCATGCGAATGAAATCTGTAAGGACCACGTTACTGTCTCATGACCTAACATGTTAGGAACACTTCCCAAGGACCCTTAACATCAGAAAAGAAGACGAGTTCCATGCTTATCCCATGATCTGACCTTGTCTTCAGGTGGTGCCCCTTCGTTATTCCAAGTGTGCAGCATCTCCACGGTGCCAGGAATGGGGGCGAAGCCTTTGGCGCCTTCTCCACAGTGCCACATCAGCAGTAAAAGTGGTACAACTGGACAGAAACAAAATTAAGCACAAAAAACGTTAGTCCCAACTTAATTTTAAATGAGTCATATAATTTTGGAATTTGCATATATCACTTCCTGGAATTCAGTCTTCACTTATTTACAACCCTATTTTTTTCTTTTTCTTTTCTTCACCCTGATCCAACCTCGCCAAGCTTGTCGTGGGAGAGGCACACCAAAGTCTACAGGCAGGATGTGGGGTCCTACAGACTTAGAGACCTTGTCCGTCAGGAAGAGGCTGTGTCTGGCTGCTGAGTGGAACACCAAGACTGAATACAATAGTATCTAAATCATCAAAACCAACTTAAAGACTTCAATTTTTTAAAACCATTTTCATATATTTATTAAATCCTCACTTGAGAGGATATTTTTCCATTGATTTTTTTAGAGAGAGTGGAAGAGAGAGGGAAAGACAGAGAAACATCGATGTGAGAGAAACACATGCATTGGTTGCCTTCTGCACATGCCCTGACTAGGGCCTGGGCTGGGGAGGATCCTGCAACAGAGGTACATGCCCTTGACTGGAATCGAACCCAGGACCCTTTGGTCTTCAGGCTAACGCTCTATCCACTGAGCTAAACTGTTTAGGCCACTTTCATTTCTAATATGAGAATATCCACTATCCAAAACAATATTATGTGTTAAAAAAAATCAAAAGCTTCTAAGGGTAGAAACATTTTAACATGCTCAAATACTTGAGCACATTTGAATTTCTATAATACTTCACCACTTCCTCCTAGAGTAGAGGTGGGCAAAAGGCAGACTCACTGAGGTTCAAATCTACCTTTGAGTAGATTCTTCATTAAAACCCCTTAGGATAGATCAAATACTCAGTACAATTTCAGAGCTCCCCCCTTAAATCTCATTCTACCTCCAGGAGGAAGTGAAGGCCAATGCTGGCCTCTCCATCAAGGTCGTAAAGACTTTAACTACACCTGTGCACAGTCCACCGGAATTGGGTGTTACTGCCACTCCCATTAGGCAGCTTCCAGTAACGAAATGATGACTCCCTAGACATTTCTTATATTAACAGTTGACAGCACAGTCACTATAGCTACTGTGAGCAATAAAAAGATAGAAATCAGCCAGGGGCAGTTCAATATTTTTGCAAATTCAGCAAGTATTTGTCAAAGGTGTACCAGGTGCCAAGTGCCACAGTAGGCCCCGGGGAATGTGAGTGAGAAGGCAGTGTAGGGACTCCCCAGCTCCGGGACCTCCCTACCAGCCTGGGGAACGGAGGGAAGTCACTTACTGGTGTGTGTCTGTATCATAAAGCAGAGACGATGGTACGAAAGCACACTGTACACTGTTGAGTGGTGTGCACTCAGTCGCACACCTACTGATGGCTTCGCCAAGCTCTCCCTGTCACTGAAATGGCCGGGCTGTTTCGGAAACGGCCCTCTGCCCACGTTCAGTGGTCAGGGGCAGTGGTCTTCCACGTGACCCCAGACTGCAGTCCTTTGTTCTCTCATGAAAGGAACCCTGAGGTCTTGGAGGACATGCAAAGCAGGCAGGATGGGTCCTCACTGTTGGGAAGCACAGAAGTCTCAATGCTGTGGGCCCCACTGAAGGGCAAGCCACACAGAGGGTCTGGGGAGATGAAGGGCAATTCATGCAGAGGGTCTGGGGAGATGAAGGGCAAGCCACGCAGACGGTCGGGGAGGTGGGCTCTGACCAGTTGAATGTGCAAAGCAAAGATGAATGAGAATAAGATGAGCTTGTGAAATAACCTTGTATCCATAACGCAAATTCAGGCACCCAATCTTGTCTGAGTGCCTTCTGTGGGCAAGGCCCTGTCCTAGGCACTGGGCAGCGAAGAAGAGACCAGGGCCTTGCCTCACAGACCTGCTCAAACGGGGGCACCACCTACTCAAAGTCAGTCAGAGAAAGGCAGATGCCACAGGATTTCACTCACATGTGGAATCTAAAGAACAACACAAATAAACAAACAAAACAAACAGACTCACAGACACAGAGACCAGACTGCGGGTGCCCAGCGGGGAGGGAGGTTGGGGGACTGGGTGCAAAAGGTGAAGGGATTAAGAAGTACAACTTGGTAGTTCAAAGCGGTCACAGTGATACCCAGTGCAGCACAGGGAGTACGGCCAATAATATTGTAATAACTGTGTATGGTGCCAGGCGGGGACTGGAAAGATCAGGGGGAGCGCGTAGCAAAGTATATGACTGTCTAGCCTTTATGCTGTTTTCCTGAAGCTAATACAAAATAATACTGAATGTAAACTGTAATTCAAACATTAAAAAAAATGTTTGTTTTTTTTTTTAAATGGGGACCCCAGCGTTGTCTATGTTAAAAGGTTGCTGAAGATATATGCATGGTAGCCTTGGTGATTTAAATCAGAAAATGATACACTCTTATACAACCAAGTTCTGAGGCATGCTCTAATAACCTTTGGTGAATTCACCCATGATCAATCCTGGTTTCCCTCCTCACCCTCAGTGTTCAGTGGGTGAGGATGACTGTAAAGGAACCCACGACGACTATGGTAACAACTCCAGGAAAGCCCTTAATGACCGAAGGAGCCAAACACAGTACTCACGCAGCAAGAGCAGAAGCGCCAAGATGATCAGCGCGATGGCGGCCGGGCCCAGGCCCACGTGGCCGCCGCGCAGCGCTTCCACGCAGCCGCTGCCGTCCAGGCACTTGCACACCGTGAGCGTCAGGATCTGCTTCTCCGAGCAGCTGAAGCCCTGGCTGTCTGAAACCAGGAACTGGATGTTGCTTCTCCCGGGCTTCCACTCGCGTTGCTGCAGCAGCACGCTGGTACCTGTGGGGGAAGAGGCAAGAGGGAGCGAAATGAGTGGTTACCGAGAAGGGCGAGAGTGAGTTACGGAAACACATTATTTTTAAAGTAAGTTTTTATTGATTTTAGGGAGAGAGGAAAGGAGAGAGACAGAAACATCGACATTGATTGGCTGCCTCCTGCCACCCCCTGCTGGGGATTGAGCCGGCAGCCGGGCATGTGCCCTTGACCCGGAATGGAACTGGCTCTTGGTGCATGGGTTGATGCTCAACCACAGAGCCACACTGTCTGGGCTAGAAACAGTTTTTCGTGGCCAATAACATTTAGCACCAGTTAGAAGCTTCATCCTTTCTTCATGGCTCTGTTTTTTTCCTTTTGGGGGGAGGGAAGGTGAAACTATCCACTTTTGGAGACACCCCAGAGGTGGGCTGGCATGTTGGTATGAAATAGTCCAGACACTCCAAATACGTGGGTGAAGAGCAAAGGATAGGAGTGGACATGCCTGACTTTTATGATGATTAGTCTTAACAAATGTGTGTGGTTTGCCAAATACTATCAACTATTTTATGTACTGGGAATACAGTGACACACAAGTGGTGAGTTAAATGGTACTTCTATTGAATGACCTTTATTTTATCATTTCACACTAAAAATTTATCCAGGAAATTTTAAACAGACAACAGAGAGAAGAGCATAATTAACTCATGGTGCCTGTCACCAGCTTTAACATTACTGAAAGCCTTGTAAAGTGATTGTGAAGAGTTGTTAAACTTTAAATGTTTAACAATAGATCTGTAAATTAAGAAAAATTTAGGTATGATATTTGAAACTTTAGAAAATGAACACTAATTGTTTCGGAAAAAAGTCTTCTGGGTGGGTCTTTGTACATTCAAAACCACCCGAAGGGCACTGGAGGCTCACTGCAAGAAGGCGGACTTACCTTCTGAGAGAGCTATGTCCAGGATGTAGCCATAAGCATAAGGCTGTCTGGCATGGAGGGTCACAGAGACCCTCCTTCATGGGTGTCTATCACTCACCCGCTTCGTGACCTTGAACAAGCTACCTAACTTTAGTTAAATCAAGGTTTTCTCAGCTAGAATGAAGGAATAATGTTATGGAGAAAGGATTAAATGAGATCATGTGTCTGAAGGGCCAGCAGAGTGCCTGGCACATGACAAGTGATCAATAAATGTTACTTTTTGCTTAGACGGGCAAGATGCTCCTCAGCTTGTGTGAGACACAGTCACATCTTCAAGAGCAATTTAGAGAACGCCCAGCTACCATTAGGACACTAGGTGATCTTTCTTCTCTCCCTCTTCTGTTGTTCCAAATGGGATATTGGATTCGAGCCAGACAAAGGACCCTATGCCCAAGGTTCAAAACCTCATTTTCTAACCCCTTTGAAAACTGTATTGGAAATCCTATATAGTAAAAGGTCATATAATGATTGTCCCCTCCACCGGGAGTTTGACCTGAGCTCAACCAGGGGGTGGGGCCGCCCACCAACCGCCCATGTCCCCTCCCCCTTCTCGGCCTGATCGCCTGATAGGGGAGGCCGCCTGGACCCCACCCATGCACGAATTCGTGCGCCGGGCCTCCAGTATAATTTATAAAAGAAACCCAGCCTCTAGTATGAAGGTTTTCAATTTGTCTTAATATTTTGACGTGTCGGCCAGTGACTTGGCTTACTTTCTTTGTGTACGATTTTCCATTCCTCTGCCATGCCAGCTGGTTTGTCAACGATGACGAAAGTGAAAGGGTCACTGTTTGGGTACCCGTCCAGGTCCCTTGCGGTCACGTTCACATACTGCACGTCATCACAGATGTTCAGCACTGGGTCCACCAGGGTGGGGCAGTTGTCATTGATGTCTTCCACCGTGATCACAACAGTGCCAGTGATGGTTTTTCTAGGAGAATCTTAAAGGGAAGAAACAAATACGTATATTCTGATTCTATTGCTGATAACAAGCATAGTTTGAATTTTCTTGCCATTTTCATAAGAAGGTCCTAACAAATTAGGACACTTCCTATCCTAGATATTTTTCATAGTTAGATCACGTAATATCTTTTAATCCATTAAATAAGTAGAAATGTGAAAATTTCTCCACTGGAGAGATTTGATTTTTCTGTAAGATCAAAGGTCTGTGATGTTGGAAAATAACATCAAACCATATATAACCAAGAAAAACATTATTTAATAACTTACCTTCTGAGATAGCTAAAATCTTTACAGTGTATGTACCATTTTGGACATATCTGGATTCAAAATCAGGAAATTTTACAAGTTTAATCTCAGATGTGACAGAATCCACAGAGACCCAGTTGTCTATATCTTCCAATTTGGTATATCTGTTTAAAACAAACAAAATTAATTTTGAATTCTGGATAAACTGTGCCTCTCTAATATTTACAACTTTTTCAAGTTTAAATTTTGCTTCACTGTATATGTTCTTGTTATAGGCATTAATTTGAAATGCTTTTAATTTCCTGAAACCATCCTAAAAGCTCCTCTCTTTACTGCATACAACACTTACTTTGGAACCTGCCTTGTTCCTGTAACTCAAGACATACACACAAGGGCGGCCATCCTTTGCCTGCTCGGCAGAGGTTCACAAGTCTGTCTCTAGCTCTCAGTCTGCTCTCCCTGAAGTTTGGGGTAAACCTTTTGAGAATGATGTAGTTACCCAACGAGACCCGGCGGAGAAAAGTGGTCTCACATTCTATTGTTTATTGGCATCATATTGTTTATTATCAATATTTAAAAAGACCAATTTTAAAAATGGAAGTACTTTAACATTTTGGAATATTATTGATCGCTAATAGCAGTAAGGCTTCTTTCAGTGAGAAATGGTTCAAAGTGAAAGCAATGCTGATGAAGTGATTTCTGGGTTTCTTCCCTCAAAGCAGGAGAATCAGTGTGGAAGGAGGTAACTTTGAGAAAGGCAAGGAGAACTTTCATATTATGTCTTCAGAAATGTATGTAATTTAATACCATTGCGTTTACAAATAACTGAATCCAAACATAAGCCAATGAGTATTTGGTTCAGTTAACCAGATTGATAATTTATTTTCTGTTAAGTGGCTGTTTGCTAACTTATAGCAATACTTGTTTACATTGCTATTTAAAAAATTCCAATTATATACTTTAACTGAAATTTCTGCTTTTTAATATTTCTACCAGTAAGGGATGATACATTTGGATTTTCACAAGTATTTCTGAATTTCATGTCTAGAATTTTAAAGCCTGGACTTAACTGATGTCAATGGTTTCCCACATTCATAGTTATAATAATACAGGCAGAGTCTTAGTAAGAAGGATCACATTTCCCATGTATGTGATCGCATTTTTGGAATTTTCTCTCTCCTCTACGGTAGAAATTAAGACATCAGAGTAGGATGGCGGCTCACATGTTATGCCAAATATCGATAAACAGTGGATGCATGTGAATAATCAGTAAAACAGTAAATTATGACAAAGTTAACGAAGTAATTCTTCTGTCCCTGTCAGCATTTCTAAATAGCAACCACTAATCAGTTAGGGAAACATTAGAAAATGATTTGATTTGCGTCCCATTCCTTATCTGTTCAATAGGAGGTCTGAATCGACCTTTAAGCTCTTTCTCACACTGAAGTTCTGTCATTGCATGCTAGAGAATGAAGAAAATCCTTTTGAGAAATAAGGAACATAGTTCATTATTTTTTTCCAGGCAGAACATATATTTTGATATATTTATCACCCTTAATAAAAATAGCAGCCAAAGTTAAATAGGTGGGAAATAGAAGTTTCAATAAGTAGCCCAGTATTATTGCAGGATAATGAACTAGAACCTGTAAGGCTCTCAATGGGCAGCAGTGAGAAATGGTCAGAGAGCATGCGTCCTCAGGGCTGGGGATCCCCGTAGGGATGGCCTCGTTAGGGCTGGAGCCGTGGAAATAAAGACTAGACCACAAAACTCCCAAGAAGCAGGGCGGTTCCTGCAGGTATGGTGGGCAACACAGGGTCACCAAGACATTGCAGAAAACAGTGGAGGCTGTTTGTTAATATTATTTTGGGAAAAGGCAATTTGCTACTCTTGGATGATGAATTCTATTAGGAGTCACAAGCCCGGCTAGTGTGGCTCAGTGGTTCAGCATTGACCTATGAACTAGGAGGTCACGGATTAATCCCCGTTAGGGCACATGCCAAGGTTGTGGGTTCAATCCCCAGTGTCGGGCGTGCAGGAGGCAGCCGATCAATGATTCTCTCTCATCATTGATGTTTGTGTGTCTCTCTCCTTCTCCCTTCCTCTCTGAAATCAATAAAAATATATTTTTTAAAAAAGAAGTCACCCAAAGGAAAGAGACTGTTGCAGGGCATTCAGCATTCTTGCTGTGGTTGGCCACGCACGTCAACACACTGTTTTCAAAGTGCTGGCACCCAGGGACGCAAAGGTAAGATTTCCCAGGTGCAAGGACAGCGAGGCAACCAAACCACCCTGGCTGACCGCAGGACCGGCTGTGCGTGTGGGTGGCAGGCGGGGCTTCTTTATATTTGACCTGAGTGACTCTAACTGGGCTCCGTAAGTAACCGTCTGTAGATTCGTCTTCCCTGGCATGGACCTGCTATCTAAGATGTACTTTTACTCTGAACGTTTACCCATCATGCAAACCTAAGGTGTCGCTCTAAGGGGGCACAGCCCAGTCCCTTCCGCAGGCACAGTGGTGCCATCTAGTGGGCTCTCAATCCAAGTATCCGAGTAAAAGCCACCATGACCAAGACCAAGGTTCCTCCATCCCTGCACCAAACAGCATGGTTTCAATGAAGAGTCATTTCCAGGATTGATGTGCAAATGATACTGGTTTCTCCACATTAAAATACATGCGGCAACTATTTCTTTTAACCAACCTGGTATCAAGCGAAATTTGCAATACAATTTGCTACTTCCTTTGCTGTTTTTCAGCCTTGCTAGCCAGAACTCTCTGAGGCGAGGGACCCAGCCTCTGCCTAACACTCGGGGTGGAGGGAGCGGGCCAGGGGAAATGGCTCCCTGCCTCTCAGCTGCAGGGACAGCTCTGGGAAAGTTAATCTGTAGACCGAAGGGGAATTAGAATGCTGGGTGGGAAGAAATGAACTGTTCGCCTTTCATTGTGATTTTGTCGTAAGCAGGCATTGAGAGTAATTTACAACGAGCAATTCTGTTTGTCACTATGTCTTACTTTACACGGGCTGCTTGTCCAGTGTCTTCGTCAAAAGCTTGAAATTTCCCAATTACTTGGCTCAGGCTTGTTTTTTCCATGCTCTCGCTGGTGCGAATGGAGATGGTGCTGCTTTTGAAATGAATGCCTTCCTTCACATTCTTCACCTTGACTTTGATGGGGATGGCTGTGGGCTTATATTCACTCTTAACTGACTTGTGGAAAGTGGCTTTATTAGTGACAATAACGCTGAAGTCAAGATGCTTTATTTCTTCATAATCTAATTCCTAGAAAGGCAAAACCAAAGGGAATTGTTCAAAAGAGAGAACTAGAACACACACACACCCACATGTGATTTTAATGTTGCATAGGACCATTTAACACAGCAGCACTGAGTATTCCAACTCATATTGATAACATGCAGTTAAAAATCTGCCAATGTGATATTCGTAACTGTGAGGAGGATTATGAAACATCCCCAATTAATTTTTTTAAAGGTCAATGTCATTTAAAAAACATATTTATTATGAACAATTTGAAGTGATTTCTTTTCCTAAGGAAGTTAATGGACATTCAATATCAGTTAATATTCCTTAAACTGGTTCCATGAGTTTGTTCTGGGGAAAGGGCTACAGACATAGTGCTTACCTTAATAAGGATCACGATTCCTTCATTAGTTTGATTATCAGTTTCTATGCGGAAATAGCCCTTTTCATTTCCGGACACAAATGTAAAGTTTGCTAACCAATTATCCGAGCCTCTCTCATCTCTGTCCAGCACTTTTATGCGCATCACTTCTACATTGGCTCGGTTCTCTTCAACTGTCCCTTCATACTGCAAATCAGGAGCACAGGATTTTCATGTTAATGCCACACACACACACACACGTCATACATTTTTTGGTAAAACTAAGGTATGAATAAGTAGATACATTGGTTATAAAGATAATAGATACCCTTTGACTCTCCACCACGGGTATATTGTCATTGACATCCAAAATACGGATCTGAACTTGAGCTTGCTTGACAGGCTTATCTGTTACTTCTCCTTCTTTGCCGTCTCTGGCTTCCACTGTCAGAGTGTAGCTGCTGCGTTCCTGCAGGGCAATGCAAACACCCCTGGGGTGAACATCAAGCCTCCAGACCTGTCTTCCTGGCTTTATTCACTTCACCATCAAGGAAACGCACCACAGTGCAATCTACTCATAAGTAAGTTCCTGATCTGCTGTTATTCATGCGAAGATGTTTATTTGCTGCCAGCGATTTTCCAGAAGGGGCAGAGAAGCCTGGAGGAGTTGCTGGTAGTTAATTTCTTAAAGATGTCCTTGGTGATATTAGTCAATTTCTTAAATATGTCATTGGTGATATTGTTAGGAGATGAGTCTCTCCTTAAACCAGTTTGTGCACAAGAGTGCTGTTCAAAGTGGCTTTTGCTCTGCCTTGGCAGTGATGGCGAGAATACAGGGATCGGTTCTTTCTACCCTACACTTCATTTTCAGCAAATAGTTAAGCCAGAGAGACCTAGTCACCAGGAAAACCTGGCCAGTGAAGGCAAAATGTGGTGACCTTGACCTTTGTCAGGACATCCCGAGAGATCTGATTCTTAGAGAAGGTGCCTAGAGAACGGCATCTCAGATGTTCACCTCAAATGAGCCCTGCTCTTCCCCATGCCCCACGGCGCCCCCATCTGTGTGGCGGGTGGAGGTCGCAGGGTGGGCAGCCAGCACCGTGCGTGGGGCGGCTGTGCGGGGCAGAGCTCAGTGACAGGAGGGCGGCAGAGGCCGCGCCTGGCTGCAGTGCTGGCTCTGTCCCTTACTGGCTGTGCTGGATACACTCGCTTCCTTTGACCTCCCCCCCCCGCCCCCCCCCCCCCCCCCCCCGTGTCCTCCTGTGTAAAAGGGATGGGTAATGAATGGATCTGCCTCACTGGGTTTCTAGGTGGATTAAATGGGTTCATCTACGTAAAAGGTGTGGAGTGCACCTGGCATATGTAAATGCCCGATAAGGCAGATTATGGGCTAAACTTGCCATACTTCAGGGACAGCAGCTTATTAAAAAGTCACACTGCTTCAAAATAATACTTTTCCATTCTAATTTTATTGAAGGCGTACAGTAGAGGTTTAAGAGTAATAAAATTCTTGAATTCTACCAAGATCTCAGTAGGAACGTTGGGCACAACCCCGTCCCTCTCTGGGCAGAGTGAAACATCCTTCCAAGAGATACAAAATGTACTGACTGCACTTGGGTGATGATTTATGGTTCTTAGGATCATCACCATTTTACTCATGTTAAAATCTTCAAGTACGCAGCACTTGTAAAATTTTCTAGATCCCTTTTCTTTTAAAATTTTTCCTTTCCGTTAGAAATAAAAATGTGAAATGTTTGAGAGAACAGCCTTTCAGGACACCTACTCAAATTTTCTTCCAATTTGGGATTCACAATAATTCTTCCCTTCACAAACAGTTCTATAATAGGGCTGCCACCTCTACCTGTTTGCCTTCCCAGGCATATCTCTGAGCAGTAGAGGAGACCCCTAGTGTTTCATTACAGAACTGCAAACGAAGGAAGCTCTCCAGCAAACAGAACCCTGGCCCCTTTGACAATTTTAAATTTTCTAGCAGCCACATTCAAAAAAGTAAAAAAAAACAACCCTGATGTTAATATTAAAAATATATTTTATCTAACCTATGGTATCTCAAATATTATTTCAAAATGTAATCAACAAAAAATTATTAAGATGGCATTTTGCATTCTTTTCTTTTTTCATACTAAGTATTCCCAATTTGGTACATCTTCTGTTTGTAGCACAACTCAATTTGGACCAGTCACATTTCAAGAGCCCAATGGCCACAAATGGCCAATGGCTGCCATATTGGACAGCACATCCCTAGGAGGGGATAATTCCAAGTGTTAGCCTATGAACTAGAAATACACAACAAAACAAGAAAACTGAACAGAGAGGAGAACCTGAAAGAATAAAGGAGAGTTTAGAAGATGAGCAACATAAAATATTCATGTACCTCTCTGTCCAAGGTATTACTGACTGTATAAATCTCTCCCGTGTCTTTATTCAGGTAAAACATTGCGGGCTTATCAGGCTCCTGAGATACGATTTTGTAGGAAATTTTAGAATTCATGGAATTGGGCTCATCTGCGTCTGTCGCGTTGATTTTCATCACAAGGGTGTCTGGCATTAGAAACAAAGGCATCCAGAATGAAACAACCTTGACCACATGCATATATGTTACTTTATGTATCATTTCAGCTTGTTCCAAGTAGGATTTCACGTGTTTATCAAAACCACAGTTTACCAAGATCAAAAAACTGAACTGGATGAAGAAATAAGTATGAATGGATTGAAGGAGTAAGAAAAACAAGGAAAGGGCAGGACCAGCGTTAGTAGTACAATTCTTAGGGTGAAGTCCCCAACACTTGCTACAGGAGGGCCATAGATTTATTTACAATAGCTCTAATAAAAAAAGAAGAACGAACAGATACAAATAGACGCTTATTAAAATACAAACAGTTCAAGAGAAGCACAGCTGTTCTTCAGAATATTATCAAAGAGAAATGTCTTGCCTGGCTGGTGTGGCTCAGTGGTTGAGCATGGACCTAGGACCCATGATCCATGAGGTCACTGTTTGATTCCCGGTCAGGGCACATGCCCGGGTTGCAGGCTTGATCCCCAGTAGGGGGCGTGCAGGAGGCAGCTGATTGATGATTTTCTCTCATTATTGGTGTTTCTATCTCTCTGAAATCATAAAAATATATTTTAAAAAAGAGAGAGAAATCTCGCCTGCAAGTGTTCATGTAGAACACTCTATTGAAATGATGCCAATAAACCTGACATGAGTCAAAGGTCAGCAAACTACTGCCAGCGGGCAAGGCTAGTCAGCCACCAGTTTTGTAAATAAAGTTTTATTGGAACACAGCCATGCCCATTTGTTTACATACTTTCTATGGTTGCTTTTCTGCTACAAGGCAGAATAGCTGATACAGAGATCCAACATGTCACATCCATCCACCATATCTGTTCTGCGGGTATAAAACAAGTCATGTAAAATCTTTTGAACTTATCACAAAAAAGCCAGTTCTACACGTAGAGCAACAGGCTTGTTACTATTTGTCCCGTGGTTAATACGCAGCCTCCACGGAGTCACAGGAGGTCGCATTCAGCCCCACAGTGGGGTTACAACGCCTTTGGGTATTCATTCATAAAAACAGCGGCACTCACGTGCTGCGCTCAGTTCTTCAACGGACCCAACAAAGACTTCCTGAGTGAACACGGGCTCGTTGTCATTGATATCAAGAACTTTAATGCGCAGTTCTAATGGCTTCTCTAGATTGTTGCCTCTTTCATCCAAAGCATAACCAGTTAGCTGAAATGGCACAAATCATAGAAGAGATTAGATTTAACTTAAGGTAATGACTTGCCATGGTACCAAAAAAATAATAAACAAATCATGACAGTTACCAACGAAAAAACTTCAAAGTAATAAATATAAAATTGTTCTTACCAGGAAATATGGCGTTTCTTCTCGATCAAGAATGCTGGTAACGTTCAGTTCTCCCGTGTCTTTATCAAAGACAAACACACCATAAGGTGGCTCTGTGATGCCTTTCCCAGTGTATTTGTATGTAATTTTTATTCTTTTTTCTTCTGCAATATCAGAATGTATCTAGCATGGAAATAACAGGGGAATATTATCTCTAGATAGAGTATTTGGAAAGTTGGGGAAATTTAACAAGATTTTTTCCTTTTCATGTAAATTTTACTCTTAACGACTTATATAATTAAAATTAGTAAGAAGAGTTATTCACTATTGAGCCCCAAAGAATCAATGCATTTTAGGGAAACATAACGAAAGAATGTGTGAATGACTGAGATATTTCAGAAAACCAAACCAAACCAAAATGAAAACCTCAATTGCTCGCACACATACTGGGATGTGACGCCTGGATTACAAATCTGGGTTTTAGAAGGCTTTCTTGAAGCGACCTGTTGCTGGGAAATGGGAAATACTATCTTCCGTTCCTTAGCTGCTCTTCCTCTCCAGGAGCTCGTCATGCACGACGTGTATAGACCGGAAGGTGAAGTGAAACTTAGAAGTGTCTGCGCCAGAAACCAAGCGACACAGGGATGGGACAGAGGGACGGGGTGAGGAGGGAAGAGAATCCTGAGGACCCGACATTGCAAATACCTGTAGGGCGGGGCTTCCAGCAGAGGGAGGGAAGGGCCAATGGTAGGGGCTGGAATGTGGAAGGAGCTTAGATCAGAGAGGGATGGAGCAGAGTGCGAATGGGAGCTTGGATCAGTGAGGGATGTAGCAGAGGGTGGATGGGAGCTTAGATCAGTGAGGGATGTAGCAGAGGGCAGATGGGAGCTTAGATCAGTGAGGGATGTAGCAGAGGGCGGATGGGAGCTTAGATCAGTGACGGATGTAGCAGAGTGCGGATGGGAGCTTAGGATCAGAGAGGGATGTAGCAGAGTGCGGATGGGAGCTTAGATCAGTGAGGGATGTAGCAGAGGGTGGATGGGAGCTTAGATCAGTGAGGGATGTAGCAGAGGGCGGATGGGAGCTTAGATCAGTGAGGGATGTAGCAGAGGGCGGATGGGAGCTTAGATCAGTGAGGGATGTAGCAGAGGGCGGATGGGAGCTTAGATCAGTGAGGGATGGAGCAGAGGGCGGATGGGAGCTTGGATCAGTGAGGGATGTAGCAGAGGGCAGATGGGAGCTTAGATCAGTGAGGGATGTAGCAGAGTGCGGGATGGGAGCTTAGATCAGTGAGGGATGTAGCAGAGGGCGGATGGGAGCTTAGATCAGTGAGGGATGTAGCAGAGGGCGGATGGGAGCTTAGATCAGTGAGGGATGTAGCAGAGGGCGGATGGGAGCTTGGATCAGTGAGGGATGTAGCAGAGGGCAGATGGGAGCTTAGATCAGTGAGGGATGTAGCAGAGGGCGGATGGGAGCTTAGATCAGTGAGGGATGGAGCAGAGGGCGGATGGGAGCGTAGATCAGTGAGGGATGTAGCAGAGGGCGGATGGGAGCTTAGATCAGTGAGGGATGGAGCAGAGTGCGGGATGGGAGCTTAGATCAGTGAGGGATGTAGCAGAGTGCGGATGGGAGCTTAGATCAGTGAGGGATGTAGCAGAGGGCGGATGGGAGCTTAGATCAGTGAGGGATGTAGCAGAGGGCGGATGGGAGCTTAGATCAGTGAGGGATGGAGCAGAGTGCGGATGGGAGCTTAGATCAGTGAGGGATGGAGCAGAGGGCGGATGGGAGCTTAGATCAGTGAGGGATGTAGCAGAGGGCGGATGGGAGCTTAGATCAGTGAGGGATGGAGCAGAGGGCGGATGGGAGCTTAGATCAGTGAGGGATGTAGCAGAGGGTGGATGGGAGCTTGGATCAGTGAGGGATGTAGCAGAGGGCGGATGGGAGCTTAGATCAGTGAGGGATGTAGCAGAGGGCGGATGGGAGCTTGGATCAGTGAGGGATGTAGCAGAGTGGCGGATGGGGCGTTAGGAGCTGAGGTCAGCAAGGAGGTCAAGGCCACTAAATCCCAAGGGAAGCAATTGAAAGGGTCTCAGGAAGCGGGGGAACAGGCTTCGATTTGTCTTTTCAACCCATCACTCTGGCTGCTTTTGGGAGAATGAACTGTGGTGGGGCCGGGGGTTGTCATGGGGGTGGCAAGAGTGAGAGCAGGGACACAGGTCAGAGATGATGCTGACTTGGACTAGGGGGTGGCAGTGGAGACAAGTGGGCAGACCCGGAACATATTTCAGGGGTGAAACTCATAATCTTGCTCCATTTTTAAAAAACTGGATTGAATTATAGTGCCATTTACTGAAATGGGTAGAACTTAGAGCACCTTTAAGGGGAAAAAAAAATCAAGGGCTCAGGTTCGCACATGAGATATAACCATAGAAAAATAGGACACTGAGTGTGAAAGGGAGTTATTAATTGTTGAGCCAGGACAGCGACACTAACGGAGACGGTCTCAAGCTGGATAGATGGTCACCATATCTGTTCGGTATCAGTTTTTCATTTTGAAAACGACTCTTCAAGTATAGGGTGGCAGAACATGCCACTCCCAAATATGCCACCTTGGTATAGGTTTATTTTGACCTGAAGGCAATTGAGAAGAAGTGGATATAAAAAAGCTCTCTGCCCTCCCCCTATTTGTCTAGACCAGGGGTGGGCAAACTTTTTGACTCGAGGGCCACAATGGGTTCTTAAACTGGACCGGAGGGCCGGAACAAAAGCATGGATGGAGTGTTTGTGTGAACTAATATAAATTCAAAGTAAACATCATTACATAAAAGGGTACGGTCTTTTTTTTTTTAGTTTTATTCATTTCAAACGGGCCGGATCCGGCCTGTAGGCCGTAGTTTGCCCACGGCTGGTCTAGACACAGCACATAAATTTATAAAGGTGATCTCTCTCTCCTCTCTATCAAGGACAAAAGTTAATCCTCACCGACAACTTTAGACCCTTTTCAGTATTGAGATGGCACAAGGACTCCACATAACTTTACTAACAAGTCTTTTCTACCATCAGGTTACCAGATATCTGTCTTCCCACCATTTGCTGCCCCTACAAATTCAAGGTCCTTTTCCTTTGCCTTGTCACTTCTCTAAGAATTGTTCCTTTCCTAAGATGCCCGAATTCTAACCAAACCTTTGAGTTACTCATCTCTGGATACTCCCCGTGTGACATGCATAATATACACGTTAATAAACTGGTTTACTTTTCTCCTGTTAGTTTTTCCTTTGTCAGTCCAACAGATTCCCCGGGAGAGAACCTAGGAGGGTAGCAGGAAAAAGAAATTTTCCTCCCCAGCATATACTTCTTTTGATTATTGTAACATTTACCCAGAGATTCAATTGGTGCTAGATCCCTTAACTCTTAATTTAATCAAAGCCCCAAATCATATATATGTCTTCACCAGTGATGGTGCCTCTTCCAGAATGGGAAAGAGGAAGTTGTTGTTGTTGTTTTTTAAATTAAATTTATTGGGTGACATGATCATATAGGCTTGAGGTGTGGGTTTCTATTTTTTTAAGTTAAATTTGTTGGGTGACACTGGTCAATATAAGAAAGAAGATCTTAAAACTAGAGGTCCCTGCTAAAAATTAAGCTTTGCTAATTTTCAAATACATCTGCAATATTAAAAACCTAATTAAGTACATTATAGAATTTTCATTAACTTTGAAAGTGGACATACAAGTCTTCTTCCACCACATTGTGGTAATATGCATGCATTTTCTGTTCCTCTTTAGAAAGTACCTTGGCGATCGGATTCTTTTTGGACAGATCCTCTCCTTCCCGCAGACTCACGGGGGCGGTGATCCAGGCTCGCTTCTGCCGCACTAAGTGAGTATGTTTAGGAAGCGGCTCATTTTCATTTCTGGTGTGTAAGGTCTACAACAACAAAACATTGCCAGAAAGTGATTAAGTACCTACGACATCAGGATGGTATCATGGAATTTACTAGAACTTTTAAGAAAGCTGTGTACATTTCAAGGTATAAATTTCATATTTATTAACAGACTTCCTTTTCATAGAGGAAATGTGTTTATACTCTAGCAAATTCTACAGGAGTTCAACAGATTGTCTCCAAACCAGTATAGCACCTGGGGTTTCATCTTTATCAGGAAGAAAAGATTTCCAAGAGTGAAGAGTTCAAAAGGTTAAAGAGTAATTTAGTGACCTTACAAATAAGCAAATTAAAATTAACATGAATTTTTTTTCTTACTAATGGAAAATGAAGTTTAGTTTTTCTGTGGTAGCTTATATTTTATAAATAAATTGCTAAATGTTTTAAGACTAAATCTTAGTAACCTATTGATCTCAATTTGACTAAGAGTAGTGAAAGTGTCAGTTAATGAATTTATTGTTTTCATGATGGGGTCAAGGTTTAAATTGCCCATATTTTGTTTTTAGAACCTTTCCGTGGAAAGTGATTGTATAAATTTTCAATTGTTCTTTAACAGAGAATACAGGTTTTATCCAAGGAAAATTTCAATGCAGCTGACCTAGTGTCTTAAGATCAGACATGATTATTCTACTAGGTTTCTCATTTTCCTAATTTTGTAGTTCTATATAATAGGCATTTTATTTAGAAATATTTACACTGCTTATCTCTAGGTCATTAATTTTTTCTTTGCTTTTAGTTGAAAAATTCAACTATAACTTAAAAAATTAAATAATACTAAGGTTTATAATGTAAAAGTATAAAATTTCCCTCTACATTTTCACTCACACTTCGAGTAGTCACTGTTAACAACTGGATGAATGAGTATCTTCTATGGTCTTTTCGTATGACCGTAGAGTTGCACATGTATAAAGGTCTTTTCCTATAAAAATGCAATGCACTATGCATGGTTCCTTACCTCTAAATGGAGTGCACTCCCAAAGTTAAAGCAGATCTGAAAAATAAAATTATTTATTTATTATTTAATACAATTTATTTCTCCAGTTTAAATATTTTTTAAATGAATAACTAGGATATTACAGACATTAACGAGAAGAAAATAGGTTTAACACCACCACTATTCTCCTTTGTCAAAAGGAAACAAAATTTATTTTCTCCCCTTTGCCTCCCTGCCATGTCCAGGGCTAGAGAGAGGAATTGACACTCTTTTTGGTCCACAATGTCTTCTCAGAAACTCAGAACACAACGAATATCTGAAAACCAACCCCAAACTCTCCTGTGATTTTCATCTCTTGTTCTTGGGGAACCCACTTACCTTTCCTCAAGGCCTTTAGTGTGCAAAGCCGCCCAGCATTCCAACTCCCGCCATCCCCAATGGGCCATACACACGGCTGCCCACATCCAGCCTTCATGCCTCACCTTCCTGGGTCCCACCGACTCTTTTCTCTGGTTCTTATCCAGCACTGTCACATTTGGAACTTCATCATTACACAGAACTACACGCAGCATGTTTACCCTAACATCTGGACAACACCTCCTATCCTGCCTTTTGATGTTTGCTTCACTTTTCTCCTGGCTTAATCCAAACCAGCACTTTCTTTCTTTTTTTAAAAAAATATATTTTATTGATTTTTTTACAGAGAGGAAGGGGGAGGGATAGAGAGTTAGAAACATTGATCAGCTGTCTTCTGCACAACCCCACTGGGGATGTGCCCGCAACCAAGGTACATGCCCTTGACTGGAATCGAACCTGGGACCCTTCAGTCCACAGGCCGATGCTCTATCCACTGAGCCAAACCGGTCAGGGCCAAACCAGCACTTTCTAATGTGGTCGCCACATGTGGCTATTTACACTTGAACTTAAATTATTTGTAATTAATAATTCACTTGCTCAACAGCCATGTGAGGTAAGTGGCTTGAGACATCGCAGACACCCATCACTGCCGACAACTCGATTGGACGACGCTGGTAGATTCCTACCCGCCATCCCAGACACGCTGTCTGTGATGCAGCCAGCCCTTCTTCCTTTGATCTGCTAATGTTCCTGCCTCACTTTCCCCCCAACTCTGTGAGCCCAACTGTTACTCTCTTGGATCCTGACCCTGTACTGACAACAGTGCTTGGTTGGATCCGTCACACACCCATGCTCTCTAACACCTGCTCCTTCCACAGGGCTGGTGTTAGTTTCCAGGGCGACCGTATATTTTTGTTTTCCTCCGGAGTCTAGATGACACCGTGGTGCCCTCTGTTAGCAGCCCTTTCATTCTCAAAAGTTTGCTCATTCAGACCACAAAGTACACAGCCTCTTATCTTTGTGTCTCTTACTGTATCCCCATCATGCATAGGATTCCAAACCTCATGACCTCATCTAAACCCAGTCACTTCCCAAAGGCCCCACCTCCAAAAGCCATCGCTGGGAGGTAAGGCTTCTTCCTAGGAATTTGGGGGGGGAACACATTCATTCCTTAACTATGTATGAGAGAATTCTAGCCAATGAGATATCAGGAGAGTCTGGAAAAATGTCCCTCACTGATGAGAAGAGAAGCACACTGCCAACCTCTCTCCTCACCTGCCCTGGAGATGGGTGAGTGAGGATGAGACTTGGAATGGCTACAGCCAGCTGTGACCACGAGGAGAAAGCTAATGCAATGGCAGAGAAGCCAAACTGAACCTGTGGCATCTCGGAGTCACAGAACTGGTCAAATTTGGAGCCGCCCCATCTCTGACCCACTTTTTAAATATTCTTTTTATTTTAATTTTTTAAAATATGTTTTTATTGATTTCAGAGAGGAAGGGAGAAGGAAAGAGAGAGAGAAACATCAATGATGAGAGAGTATCATGGATCGGCTGCCTCCTGCACGCCCCCGACTGGGGATTGAGCCCGTAACCTGGGCATGTGCCCTAACTGGGAATCAAACCGTGACCTCCTGGTTCATGGGTTGATGCTCAACCTCTGAGCAACACTGGCTGGGCTATTTAAGCCACTGTTAGTTGTGTTTTGTTACTTATATCTGAAAGCAACCCACCTCACAAGCCCACTTGGCATAGTTATTACACTAATTAAAAGAAATAATACACAAGTATCTTTATTGCAAATGACTGGCACGTAGCAGGCACTCAGTCAATAGAATTATGATGCTATTTCCTCTATTCCAAGACCTGCATTTTCCTCACCTTAAAATTTCTGAAATTTGGATTCAGTCATTCAGGCCTTCAATTTCCTACAATACGCTAAGTAATATAATGTTCTTAGATGTTGGGGAGAGAGACAAAAATAGATTGTGATGAGAGCTGTAAAGAAAGTTAAAGCGGGGGCAGGGGGTAGGCAGTAATGCAGGACTGAGAGGCGGCTCCTGGAAGAGGAGCGAGAGGGGCGCCAGGCAGTGCCCTGCGGGGACTAGCCAGGCCGTGGAGTGGGACTGATGGCAGCGCCATCGAGGTGGGAGCTGCTGGAGGAGAGTGAGTCGGGGGATGATGGCTGGGCTTTGGGGTGCTGGTGATCTTGTTTCTTAATCCTTCGTAGGCCGTAAGCGTCTATAGATGCAAGTGGCGGGCCTCTGAATTAAATTCAAAATATCGTGGCCTGTAGGGATGGTTTCCTGTTTGGACGTGTGGCAGTTAACCCGCTAATCTAGTCGCTGGTTATGTGGTGTGTGCAGTTTGAGAAAGTCCAGTAATTCAATACCCTTGTAATATGTGCACTTTTCTGTATGTTACACTAACAAGCTACAAAGATTTGTGTGCGTCTTGAAGCTCAGGGGGTCTGGGAATCGACATGATAGTTCTGCTATTGGCTTTTTACAGCACCTGTTGCAACAGCTTGTTTTCAGACCTTAACAAGGCAGATGGACTGAAATATCCGCTCGGCACTCATTGCACAGAACCGAGGGAATCGTATAACATTCTGCCAGCTGTTTATGCCAGCGGTCGCCAGCTGGGAGCCCGTGAGGTCCGAAAGGTTGGCGACCGCTGGTTTATTGGATTGAAAACAATTAAGATCTTAACTACTCTTTTCTAAAGTGCATATGTAATCTGTAACTCTTTTCTCACAAGAAACTTAATGATGGAAAAATATCCTGAGCATCATACCTTTAAGACTGAAGAGGAGCCCTAAGCGATTTAGCTCAATGGATAGAGTGTTGGCCTGAGGACCCAAGGGTCCTGGGTTCGATTCCGGTCGAGGGCATGTACCTTGGTTGCAGGCTCCGCCCTGGTCCGGGCCCTGGTCAGGGCTTGTGCAGGAGGCAACCAATGGATGTGTGTCTCTCACATTGATGTTTCTCTCTGTCTTTCCCTCTCTCTTCCACTCTCCCTAAAAGTAAATAAATGGAAAAATATCCTCCGGTGAGGATTAACAAAAATAAAAAACAACCAACCAAACAAAAAGACTGAAGAGGAAAAGTAATCTTCTGGTCTCTGTGTCCAAAGACTGGAAGATGGACCAGGTATATCCTTAAAAACGTTCCCAATTTACTGAAGTTTAAGAACAACTTCTATCCTTGAATCCTACACATCTTGTAAAAACTGGTTTTCCTGGTAACTGGCAAGGAAATAATTTGGTTTTGGCAGAGGCACCAGGGAAGGTCAAGCACCATTGCCAGAATACCACCAAGCAATGCGCTCTTTGTTCTCAAGGTCGGCACCTCTCCACGTACTTCCTGCTCGGAAGGCACCTGGCCGAGTTTAACACGCAGGACCCAGGAGCTCAGGAGGCTGCAGTTCCCCCTGCAGGGCCCACAGATGCCCGGGGAGGTCGTCCATAAAACTTCTTATTTTATGGCTGAACATCACAGCTCACTTAGAAAATTGCAACTTAAAAATCCACCTGATAAATGGCCCACTCCAAAGTAGAATTCATACAGCAGCCACATTCAGTGGCTTTAAATTGCAAGTACATTTTTGTTTTCACAGCTGCCACTTTAGGAAAGACTCAGCCAAGAAAAGCAATATTTTGAACTTCAAGGGTTGAACCCTGAATTTGAACTGTAGACAGCAAAACCATGTCCTTTAAGTCTCACTGCAATAAATTATATGATTTATCACAATCTTTCGCCTGCTCTTCCGATGTCTGGGCTAATCTTAATGTAACAGATATGACTGTGGGTGACTCATACCTCTTTTAGAATCAAAGAAAATATTTTCTTTGGTAGCATTTATTGGCTGAATGAATTTTAAAATAGGGATTTAGCAATGCTGTGATACAGATGAGTTGTTAGATTGTGCACATTCTAACTTCAAGCTGAGTTTTGTGCAAGCATGGATAGCTAGCTCCTCTTTTGTCCTTGGTATAAGGAACAAAGACAAATAAACCCAAGGCCCAGTTTAAGAAACAGAGCTTCAGATTGTCCTTTTCACCATTAGATGGCGCTGGTCTACCAAGAAGGCAAACTCCAGGAGCTACCAGACAGTGGCCAACAGTGGACTCCCAGGTCCTCAGTGGAAACAGGCATTTTCCATTGGCCTCCCTCAAGTAAGTGGGTGGCCAAGCTGAAGATGGAGAAGGTCACTGGCCTTTTGAAAGTTGTATGAACACTTTGCAGGACAAATCTTAGTTTACATTTCTTCTCTCTTTTCCTTTCTAGCACGCTAACTTGTAATGAAACTAAACCAACAATCTAGACCCAGAAGGTCAGGCCTTACTGATGACAAACCACAGACAACTGCTGTAAACCGAGGTCACAGTGATGCCTTGTGGGGGGAGGAGGGGGTCAAGAGGCATGGTGTTGGGGGACCTGGTCTCTATCCGGCTTGGCCCATTAATAACATTCACTAAGTCCAGTAACTGGTATGCTGTGGGTGCTCACAAAACGTCAAGCCCTCTTCCCTGTACCCCTGTTCCTTCACTTAAGCTCCCTGCCCAGGAGCCAAGTTCACCGGTTCCCTGACTGTAAGCTCCCTGCCCAGGAGCCAAGTTCACCGGTTCCCTGACTGTAAGCTCCCTGCCCAGGAGCCAAGTTCACCGGTTCCCTGACTGTAAGCTCCCTGCCCAGGAGC